TAATTTATTTCTTTTTGTATAAAGCTACTTTCTATAGAAACTAAAGGATATTTTATGTTGATTAGTTACATTTTTTTTGAAAATTCTGACTAATAACTTTGTATTGAATTAAAAGAAATGGTATATATTCAATTAAGAAATATTTTAAGATGAATAATGCATTTTTTATCGAGTTGAAAGTGAAATATCTATCTTGAAGCACACGAACGCCCTGGTACTGTGGTGTGTGCTACTTATGTCTACATAAGTAGTATATGACGTGAGTACTGAACAGAATGTCTGGCAGTAGAGAGACGAGGAGATCGAACAATAAAGAATGAAGAAAGAATGCAATTTGTATGGAAATGCAAGAACAAAGAGATTCTGAGTCATTTGAGACAATTGATGAACAATTTGCAAATTGACGATTAAATATATGGTTGTTGGATTCTAATAAGTAGTTCTACAATTTGTTATTAAATTCATTCAATTGTCACCACTGATGTTCTTGTTCACTACGATCAAAGGTGGAGAGGGTTAGCCATTTCTCTCGAAATGTTCTCACATGGTCACGCGTATACAGCTACTGACAGGGAAGTTCTACTCACTGCCTTCTCGCGGCACTACTGTTGTTTAAGAAATTGAGAGGACGAAAAATGAATGTCCGGTGTTTTAACTGGATTGGTGGATATGGAAGATCTACCTAGGGGAGCTGGAAAACCCTGATTGCAAACCAATGGTGCACATGGGCTCCAGGATTCTGAGAGAACAAGTGGTGTATGAACCAATTGTTGGTCACGGGCTGCGAAGGGACTGCATCTCTTGACGTTGCTGCACTGCTTTGTAGATCAGACCTTTAGGTCGAAGGCTCCGGTTATGGCTTCCTAAGAAAACCACCTGTTTCAGTCTGGGCGCACGGACAGTATCACAGTCCATACACAAATCAAGTGATTTTTGTGGCGCATATGTATTTGATGCCCCTTCGAATCAATCTTTATGAATTAAAATAAATAAATAAATATCTTGAGGATAATATTTATTAGCTAGAAACATCGTATCAAAGGTGAGTAAATTTCATTGGGTTTATTCGAATCTGTTAGTGATTTTGCTTTCTACAAACCTAATGTAACGATAATTATATAATGGTAATAACTGGAACACCATTAAAAACTTGAATCTACTTGGCATCTATTTTGTGCAATATTTAGATTTTTCAATAGCTCACAATGACAAATACACAATTTCTATGTGTTAGCCTTGTATAAGAAATGATCTATACCGCACACTAACTCTGACTAAAGCTCTCTAGAAGTAATGGTATTTTTTATCCCAGGTAAACTAGGATAGTTGGGTCAAGGGTCAACGAACCCACCTCGTAAAATGTAATCTCGTTACAAAGACACTAATTGCAAAAAACTGTTTGAACTATCTTCTGAAAGTTAAAGGGTCCTCATATGAAAAAGTAATTATGTTTCGTAAAGGAAGCGGAGATGTTTCGGAATTCGCTAGGTTGATGCCCCTTATGATAACCGTGAAAACAATTAATACGGGTATATGCGATGATTGAACTATATAGAATGCCAGGATAATTATTCAAATAGCGGCGGAAATGAAAAGATCCAACTTAGCTCTGTTTGGAATGAGTGAAACTCATTCGATATGATCTCGACAGAAGAGGAGCTCTTTTGGTATTCTTTTCACAGCTGAGACAATAAAAGGTTGTCCAAGAAAGGTTATTTGGAAACCATCAGTAATAACATACTTTTTGAGATAGAAAACTAGCTATCAGCTGAAGAGGAAACCAAGAAAAACAATGTGAATGTATAGGATACAGCACGGAAGCCATCACACTGCATCGCTAGGCAAGCCCTAGTATAGGACCCCCAAGGTGTTAGAAAAATATGAAGGTCAAAGAAAAAGTGGGGTTGGTAATAGAAAATAAACATCAAAACTATGTTTAGTACCTGACAACAAATGGAAAGGAGCAGCTATCATCAAGTTATTTGGTGATCCCTGCCCCCAAATGCCCTGGTACGGCCGAGAGTGGGGAGAGTCCGCTCTCCCTCTCGAAATGCTCTCACATGGCCACACGTACATAGCCCCTGCCAGAGAAGTCCTACTCACTGCCTTTTCGTGGCGGGGGTGTTGTTTACAAAAATGAGAGGACGAAAAGCGAACGTCCGACGCTTTAACCGGATCCCAAATCAATGGTGCACATGGGCTCCAGTATCCTGAAGGAACAAATGGCGTATGAACCAATCGTTGGTCACCGGCTACCATGGGACTGCATCTCCTCACGATGCTCCACTGCCTTGTGGGTCAGACGTTCAGGTCGAAGGCTCGGGGTGTGGCCCCCTAAGAAAACCACCTGCTTCGGTTCGGGCACTCGGGCAGTATCACAGCCCACACACATATCCAATGAGATCTGTGTGGCGCGTATGTATTCAGTGCCTCCTTGTACCGATATCTATGTGTTAAAATAAATAATAAATATATAAATTGGTGATCCCTAGTCAGTGGCCTATGCTCCAAGTTTGGTATCCAAGTGACATGAGTAAATATTACACAAACTGACTGAAACAATAACTCAGTAAATTCCAGATACCGCGTTAACCTCTAACCTATGAATTTATGGGTTCATTTTGATCTATTCACACCGTTTGACCATCTAAAATGACAAACAAACAAATCCCCGTTGCTTCCTAATATTCAGTGATTATTTAGACGACATCAGTTTTGTGATATGAAAATCGTCCTCGATCGGTCTCAATCTTTAAAACAAATAAGTGATATTCTGGTAAATCAATGTGTTAAGGTTAGTAAGCAAATTAAATGAGCAATTCAAAATATATCTCTGCCGTAAATCTGGTGTTTGTGATACAACGAAAAAATAAATTCTATGCTGCAAAACAAGATTAGGTAGATTATCATCATACATAATCTAAATTCAATAGTAATAATGATATACATGTAAATACTCATAAACTGAAGATCAAAGTTTGATTTCTTAACTAACATGAATAGAACTATGTTTATAGAATGATTGCTTTCTCTTTTTTGTTCAACTATGCTCACACTGAGACAAGTCACAATCTTCACAATGACTGTCAGTATGTCATGCAGAAAATATTGAGAACAAAAAGTTCACTTTATTAAAAATAGTATCTAGACTTTAAAACCACCAACAAAGAAACACAAATAATTAATGCCGTCAAGTGGTAAAAATAACCTTTTCTAAAGGTAGAAAATAGGAGTACTACAATAAGTGTAAAGCTTTAAAACTAGGATTCTCTTTTGCACTAAAGTTGTCACTAAAATATCAAAAATACTTAAAAAAATCAACGGAAAACAGTTTCTCTTTGTTTTACAGAAAAGAATATAAAACAATACTAGCAAAAACTCAGAGTTATCAAGTGAGTTAGTGTACTGAAGATTTAGTCGTAGATATATCGAGCTGGTGTCATTAACAAAACTTCATTGGGCATATTTAAGATGTTTGATTTGTAAATAACTGGGATAGATTGTATTATCAAATTAGAACATAGGGTAGACATAAAAGAAAAAAATTAAGTTCAGTAATTACGCATTAATTATAAAGTTGAATAATAACTAAATTATCATTAAACAATTACATCATAAACCAAGCCCTGACCTCGAATCCTCGAGGCTAAAGGAAAAAAGGCAGATGGAAGAATACCTTTCACAATAATCAAAGGCACACATCATAAGAATGAATAGCACTTAGCAACAAACACAAAGAAGATTCCTGTACAGAACAGGTTAAAGAATTCTTGTTGTCTTCTAATACCCCACGAGAGATAACAGGGTTAAGTAAGTAAGTAATAGGGTGATGGAAATTGTTGAATTTTAACGGACAAAGTAAACATGGCTGAATTTTAATTTTATATTAAAGCATCATTCTTAATGGAGCTGGATCTATATCCTCTTGATGTGTCGATCTTGAAAAGAGTTGTTGTAAGATTAACCGTTAATGATGGCAATTAAATAAAACTCCCTCTACAATGACTAATAATTGAGCAATAACATATATCATTTTTACCTATTTTTGATGTCGATCAAATTTTATCCATTAGTCTAAGCAATTTAAAATTATTTGTACTAGATTTCGATGCTATGTGGTCAAAGGAAGTCCATGGACAACTTTTGACCTAGGTTTCATGCTAATTGACTCTATTCTGGAAGGTGTACCTGAGATCTTTAGGTGACTGATGTTCTCATTGGGATTTAGAATTGGATCATTTAGATTTTTAGCAACTCTACAGTCCGTCTTGATCGTCAGGGGTTATCCAATTAATATTCGTCTGTGATGTAGACTATGAAATAATTAAGAGCAATTTGAGGCATAGAGGATTAAAGGATATGAAATTCAAAGGCCATCTTACACTTAATGTTACCAAATTTATTACTGATCAACATAAGTTCTACAGGCTACATACAAATACAAATAAGTTTCATTTTTTGATGGGTTGAACAACAGTGACAAATTTAAAAATAATAACCATTTCATGCCCATAGGAATTTATATTGTTACCAAAATATTGCTATAGACAACAAAGGTAGGTTTGTAAAGCAACTTATAAACTTCACACAATTGTTATACTAACAATCGTTACAAATTTTCTTGAAACAAACAAGGAGAATTTGCTCCATTTACGGTGATCAAGCCTGACTATTAAACATCTATTGATCCGGTACTGTGAAGCAACCAAAAATATGATGTTTACTCTCCAAGAAAACATTCTTTCAAACACGGTAAACACATTCCAGATCATACACATCAACTAGTCATTGGATTATTTTTCAAATTGCTTGATGACTTAAAGTATTGAAAGTGCCTTAGGTCTGAAAACTTTGTTGCTCCTTATGAATAAATATTTCTATCTCTTTCAATTTCCTTCGTCAAAATCCCTTACAAGTCAGAAATAAATATAAAATGCATTGTTGTCATATTAAATAACGAAATTGAAAAGTCTGACGAGGAATATGGTCATATGACTTACAAATTATTGGTAATTTTTCAGGCTGTGGAAAACTTAATCCCATAGAAAGCGCTTCTTGTACTGCCAGGCGACATATCTCTTTGGTAAGATTTTTAGCACTTGTGTTGAAGATTAGTGACACGGCAACGATGAGAATCAGAGACTCATAGTTTTTTAAAAATAACGACCGAGTCATAGTTATAACCAGACTAATTTTATACAGCTGAAGTTCATTGACATCAATTATATCACGTTTTCAAGTATGTGTGTTGAAAGTGTAACATTTTGATTGTTTGTCAAAGGTCAAAAGATCGACAGAAATAAACAAAACCAATTTACAAGGTAATTTGACATTTATGGTACAAGTAGTGAATTTATTCATTCCTCCCAAATACTTTCGCAAAAAGTGATGTCTCATAATAAATCTGGACCACTGTCGAATATGCTAAGCCAGGATACACATTACGCAAACTATATATACATGCTTGTTAGCGGACTCATATCTCTGACAAATGTACAGAGGATAGTTATATATGTAACTTCCCTGTCTTTAATTCACAATAAAAAATGATTTTGAGAAGCCAATTTTTTCATTCTGTTATTTTGTAAATCTAAGTGTTCATTTTGGTTCATTTCGTGGATGAACAATAAAATACTTTACGGGCAGTATAAATGTTGGAGCTCCAAACTGTATATCAAACTCCTGAAAATATGCTAACCCGGACAACTCAGAAGTCAGAAATGAGGGGGTTCGAATATTTACTCGACATATCGAGAAGCATTTGGTCTAAGCTGCCTGGAAGTTTCAAGGGGCGAGTAGCACGGCGTACCCACTCGTCATCTGATACGGATGAGTAACTCGGCACCTTAAGATGGTGTGTGTCCACTGAAAAACTAATGAGGTCAGGCTCATTGTCGAAGACATACAGGACTATTTATTTTGGGGATTTATTTAGTTCCACACATTTTATCCATGTATTAATGCTACTTTGATAACTGTCTAGAAGAAACGTGAATTGCTGAGATGTATAGACAAAAACAGGGTAAAAAAACTGCAGTGTGACCAGTGCTGCATGAGCATGTCCATGGCATGCAAATGATTAATTCGCAGTAGTGATGTTCACTTACCTGTCAGTAATTCATCGTCTAACGTGAAAATGGTCCACTTTAACGGACAGTTTGGTTAAGGCTCAGTAACATTGAACTGCAACAAAAAATCTTTGTATGGGTCAAAACTCTGCTTTTACTAAATCCCCAGTGTCGCCTGTATTCAAGTAAGTCTTATAGTACTATTATAATCAGAAACGTTGGAATCCGGTGTTTCCATTAGTCCATTATTTAGAACAAATACCAAACATACATTAATTTCATCGATCCACAATATTTAACAACTTCCTCTAAAGTACAAATGACCTGCTTGTATTACTATTAGGCCTTTAGCTTCTGGATGAGTTACTTTCAAATCGTGGAATGAAAAATATAGTAATTAACATCTACAGAGAACGAACGAGTAATGAAACGGAACATTTCTTTGTTCGATAAAGCGATAAGTCTAGACAGTACAACAAAGATCAACCGCAAATAACATCAGTTACTGATCAGGTGAAATATTCTCTTCCACTCAAGACTATATGTTTTGGTTGAACAGCAGATAATCAACACTGATAGAGTATCCATAATACAGCAGTTAACGTCTCAGCAACTCTGAACAGCCGTAACTAAGAGATGACCTCGAGAGTTCACCATGTTTGGCACTCTAGATGTAGATAGAGTGTCCCGTTCTTCCTCGAACCAGTTAAACAGCTGTGAGCTATGCAGGACATTATAAAATATGTCCTTAGTATAACCTGTACATACAATGGATTGAGGCAATTACACCATGAGGAGCGATTGTTCAATTCCAACTACTTATAACTTTCTCTAATTTCAGATACACCGGTGTCACTGGCTTGCAGAACATATTTAAACAGTTCACTGTCTCTAGGTGGCGTCCGTTAAATCCAGAATACGTAGAATCCCGGACTCCATGCCATCGATTTTCCTCCGTTCGTGATCTAATAAGTCCAGTTTAATAAAAAGATGACAACAACCAGTAACGCAATACTTAATGACATGGCAGGCGGACAACACGCTGCAGAAGAGATAATATCAAAAAAACATATCAACCTAAGTAAAACTTATGATACCTAAACAATTTTTTTCTTCAATGAGTGCAGACACTTGATAAAAAGTAATGAATACTGTAGGAGAGACATTTCTATCAATGAAGAAGAGGTATGGGTTAATTCAGTTCCCCCGATTAGTGGGCGATCACCATATAATAATAATCCACAAGATTAACACCATTACGATACTTTTTATGGTAGCTTCATTTACAATATTTTTGTTTAATCGGTAGTCAAATACTTGATATTACGAGTCTAAAGGTTGTGGAACATGTATATCCTATGAAGACTGGATGTGTAAAGTATGACTGTCATCTTCCTATGCCACCAAACCGAGTGTAAAGTCATTTTACGTACGAGACAATAGATTTACTTCCTGATTCTCTTAATTACGACAACTGCGCAAAAAGCCTTTGCGCACGTTGTTGTTTCGACGTAAGTTGGTTCTTAATTAGCAATATCCAAGCTGTTAGCTGTATAAGCGGACTTATTTACAAGAACAAAAATCCTATAAACACAAACAGTCAAATCTTGCTTTATAGATTTCACAATGGACTTATACATTATATTATAAACAAACACGACTATATTCTTGTGCTCTCCAACAAACTGGATTTCAGCTTTCATGGATGACATGTTGACGAGCCTCAGAGGAAAAATCTTGATAAGGAATACGAGATGAGAAACCCATGACTGAATACTATGATTTCTTGAAGTTTTTCAAGATTTCCGTATTGATTGTATGCTAATAATAACCTTTTCAAACTACAAAATTGGCTGTAATTTAGACTGATGTAGAACGTAAAAACAAGCCAAAATACGTCGTCGGAAGAGGCATAGAAGAAAAACATCACACCTAACCGCTTGTATTCTTATATTTTTGACAACTTTTGTCTATGTTTATAGTTTACCTGCCATTATAAACCGCAGACAAAGTGCAAGTGCAAAATGTCCAACGGGGCTTCACATGTCCAGTGCTAAGATGTGACTCCATTCTCGGTCACATAGCTGAACGTAAACACCTCTCCTAAAACCTTTACAGTCCTGTCGGCTATCGGAAAATCTAATATTTTTCCCCAAAATAATATATGACTTTTCATCTCTAATCTCCTCACCAGTTATGATCCATGACCCTACCTACAGACTCATATACAAGGTATATACCCTACCAACTGTAAAACTGCAAAAACCGATATAATGGAAGTTTTTTATACATTACGGTATATTTTCTAGTGTGGCATGTTGACAATGCCTATCCTAACCGTGGCACCAACATTAATTTCAAAAGAATAATAAATATCTTTTAAGACTGTGCAAAGCTTAGTCAACTATTACCAGAACTCACATACAAGCTCCAAGTCACTTTCCTATTGACTGTCCAATATCTAGACTGATCATGAAGATATCAGAACTCTAGTGTCATTAATACATGTATAATCAAAACACATGGTCATGCTCTTATACACCCACACCTCATATTCACAATCGGAGTTTCCTTAATGCTGAAACGTCCATCATTTTTCGTGAAGTTCCATTTCTGTTCTTAAGCTCTATCTCTAGGGTAAAGATAACTCACTGCAATTAGAGATACTGCTCAACTTTATTGGATCACAAGAAACTCATACTATCCTGAACTATAATGAATTCTTTCTCCTTCATGTTCTATCAGCTTGAAAGTATTCTGGCATCCCAAATTTATTATCGTTCGAATTTTATGTTTTCCTACTTACTTATCGCTTTACTGACAGACTTTGTAACCATAAACTCTTTTTATTTCACATCCTTTGGTCACCGATCTATGTCTACCATCCCTAAACTACAAATCATCTGGCCACTATTTTAGAATTTATACCAGTAGCTAACTTCATAATGGTTCAATATGCAAATTGTATATCTTAGCTACAATACAGAAGATTTAGCTGATTGGCTTGACCGTAAAATAGGACTAGTACAGACAATTATTCCATTAAGGTGTGAAACATAAAGTCTAAATCAAAGCAATAGTAAAATATACCACAAAAAGAAGAGGGTCTAATGACATTAAGGAAGGGAGTGTGGTGGCAAGTTGGCCTCAGTCCATTCATGCCTGTATTGTGGAACATTTTATTTAGTTACGAATCCTTATGGTCCAGCTGAATACAACTAACAAATGATACTGATGTCCTGGTCCTAAGCACTATACCATTCCACTCATATTTGTAACTTTCAATTGTTTCTTTTCCCTACGAAGAAATCCTGTTACAAGCTAAACTGTACTATCATGCTTAAAAAGTTAACTCTTGACTTCGCGAAATTCATAATAATGAAAAGATCGATAAAAATTGCAGTGAAATATGTCGACTGAGTATTCAAACAGTGTATATCCCTTTTGACATTTTGAAAATCAAAAATAGTCCTAAACTTTCGGCACTTCTGAATTTCCTTCACATACAAAGTTATTTATCCGTTTGTCATCACAGATCACCCATGTTCTCTTGTAAAAAATTGCTACGATAAAACGAAATAAGTCAAAGTAATCACGTCCTATCTTTACCATCTCGAATAACTCAAATTCCGAACAAAAACTACCTAAACACTACAAACACTACACATTGAAAATATAAAATATGACGAACGGCAAAGATTTTGCTATGACGTGGGTGATTATTAAAGAACAAAGAGAACTCGATGAAAAGCAAAAGCAGCGATTAACGAATAAAGGTTCATTAGAAAAGAATCCAAAAACATAGTCCTAATAAGATTGGATCAAATGACTATCAACAATATCACAGTGCGATCTCAATTTTCTTGATTTTTGCTTCCCAATTACAAGGTATTTATAATATGATGGTTTGGAACAGGGTTCGAGAAGTAATTGTGCAGAGTTTATTGGGTATCCAACCATTATGCCTGCGAACAGAAATTGGGAGAAATGTAGATCTAATAAGTTAATGATAATTTATACGTACGATGTTTATACGTACAGTGCTTGTAAACATGATGAGATAATTTTCAAACGGTCACATGCACACGTATATATATATATATATATATATATATATATATAAGTTGATTGAAGTCACACAGAATAGTAGGTAACTAATTTTGATCTACACAGATTTGACAAATGTTTTGGTCGTGAATTGCTGGACAGTCCGTTGCGTGGTTCGTGCTTTCTAGTTATTAAAAAACAACCTTCAGTTAATTTCAATCAGAACTATACAGAGTTAATCACTACTCATTGGAATTTTGTTGATAGTGATGTAGAATAGTGAATGTCACACACACACAGAAACATAGTAACGTAAGATCAGCATATTACGCTCACACCATATTAGTGCATCTTGTCACATGCTTGATTAGATGGAATGTGTTGAATGGAGAATAGACGGCATCAATATGAACATTTATACAAACAATTTAGGTCAACAAATTTTTGTGATACTGACTTGATGAACGTAGAACTATTAGAAGTTCCATGAACCTACAGAACTAGGCCGCAGCCTTGATTAATTTTCTGCACGGGACACAGTAGAAGGAATGCCGAGTTCCATGCTACCCAAGTTGCCCACATTAATGGGTTTCCTAAACTCGAAGTTTTATCACAAATATGTTCTGATCATATTATTGTAGTTGAAATTCAAATCGGATGCATAATAATGTCCAAGCAATCATTGTTGTGTACTGGCTTCACAGATGATCAATAAGAATACGTCTCTCTCAATTATTATGTTCACTCTGCTGCTATGTGTTACTTTTCACCATGTAAGAGAACTTCTATTTTATACGTGAAGTTTTTGTTGTTATTTAATGATACAATGGTACTGTTTCGTTGTGTAGCATTTTAATGTAAGTTAACTGGTTGTATACTACTAGCAAATGGTATGCATAGTTTATTCTTAACTATTTTTGGCATAATAACACTGAGTTATCGCCAAAGTTGTTATTATATCATATTAGATAATATCAAATAATACAATACATTACAGTAGAGTAGAGTAGACCACAGTACAGTACAATACAGTATAGGTGACTAATAAGGAACGGATTCCTGAATGTGACACAAATGCTGAGTAAATAATTAATCGTTTTCCTTTCACTGAAGATACTGGACACATTCTAGTGAATTTCATCATTAGAGAATAAACGAGAACTGAAAGGAAGAAATAACTGAGAAATATATGTTAATTCTCTAGTTCAGTTTATGTTTGGTTGGCTGAAGCATTAGGTTTTTGCTTATTTGCAATGCATTTTCATCTTCCTTAACGATTTGGTGCGAATTTTCATAGGAACTATTATACTTAGCATTATATTTCATTTTTACGTCTATTTGAAGTGCTCCCGTTTGCTGGTATCCCGTACTTCAGTTCAATCTTCATGGACAGACGCATTCTGCTTGTATTTAAAATTAACTACTAAACATGTCTGGTAATTATAATTTAATGTTTCAGAATGATAGGTTGACAATCAACCTATTATTGAAATAACTACCATTTTTCTCATTGGTTAATACAAATTATCAAATCGGAAATATACAACCAAGTAGAGGACCTATTAAAACCTGACAAACACAAGTCAACCACTTCAAGTTTATATTTACCAAAACGTTGACGTGAGTTTACGCCAAAATTTTACAATTTTGAACATAAAATTGAAACATCAAATAGACTAACCATCAACACATTGCTCAATTCAAATATTTCAGATATATATGTCATTTGATTATTCATATTGATATACATGGATGTTATTTTGTGTGCATATTACCTGAAATGCCGAATATCATATAGGTTTCATAAGAATGTGAAGAAACTATTGTCAACGTGATTCAACAGAACACAAACAAAGTTAATTATCTTACGTTACGATGTTTCTGTGTGTGTGTGTGACATTCACTATTCTACATCACTATCAACAAAATTCCAATGAGTAGTGATTAACTCTGTATAGTTCTGATTGAAATTAACTGAAGGTTGTTTTTTAATAACTAGAAAGCACGAACCACGCAACGGACTGTCCAGCAATTTACGACCAAAACATTTGTCAAATCTGTGTAGATCAAAATTAGTTACCTACTATTCTGTGTGACTTCAATCAACTTATATATATATATATATATATATATATATATATATATATATATATGTACGTGTGTATGTGACCGTTTGAAAATTATCTCATCATGTTTACAAACACTGTACGTATAAACATTGTACGTATAAATTATCATCAACTTATTAGATCTACATTTCTCCCAATTTCTGTTGGCAGGCATAATGGTTGGATACCCAATAAACTCTGCACAATTACTTCTCGAACCCTGTTCCAAACCATCATATTATAAATACCTTGTAATTTGAAAGCAAAAATCAAGAAACTTGAGACCACATAATTCTATTACGACAAGAAATGAGTGAAGTTAAAGCAATATGAATGATACATTTTATAGGACATTGTAAAAAATATTGTAGTCAGTGAAGAAGAATATTCATAATGGACTAGTTGCAGATGAGAACTATCACACTATTGGGTTATGAACAAAATAAAGTGGGAATTGGTAAACCTGGTTGATGTAGGTGTACAAACGTTATGATAACATCGCTTTAAATATTCTGACATATCATTGATCTTGTGTAAAGGAAATTACATTAGTAAATATTAGACAATCATCGGAAATATCACATTGTCTCTCCGAAAATATCCACGATGTAGAATGAACAATGGAATGAGACTCTTGTTAATAAAATATCAAAACAGAGAAGTGGATATGATGCATCCACATGAAATAAAAGGACACAACTGTTTAATTGAGTTATGATGAAAAATTGAGTAGGAAATACGAACCAAATTGTTCTTGTTCGGACGAATTATCACTTTTATGTTCAACATTCATTTAGTATTAAACAGTGAAGCGTTGAAAGTCATGTGAGAAAGTAGATTTCATATAGCAATCTTAACGATTCCAATTTTGACGTTGCACATTGATTGATAGCATCAATTGAAGAACGACTACTCAATTGACTGCGATTGAGAGTACGGATGCAATACTGTTCATTTGGTTTTTGCAATTGATGAAACTACATGGCAGTAAACGAATAATGGGATACAGTAAAATGTTAGGAGTCACAATCATATCTCTCTGAAACATACACAACATTTCCGACATATGATTTTGTAGTTTTGTTCAGCAGTAATAGTTCGTTGATCAGGGAAGCCAATTGCAGAATGTTGGTAGCAGTACAGCAATGATTTGTCTTGGTGTGTTACTGGAAGTGGAGAAATTCAAGTTTAAAATGCCTTTCACCACTATTTCTTTCACTGAGATATAACGCTATGTTTTCTTATATCAGAAAAAGACAACTGCGATCGAATTTTGAAGTCCGATCATTATGTTTTAACCTGGTCAACTGAATTAAAATCTTTTCGCATCGAAAACCAGAATGTTATGTATCTTCTCAAAGACGTCTCTCCACTAAAGTACTCGTTTCACAGAATCTGGCATGTGGATATTTCATTCGAATGAATTACCATTTCACAATGTCACCTGGTGAACCTTTAAAAGAATGATCTTACGCGGTGAAGCTCTCATTTAAGTAAGTAGGCGGTTAGATGCTTATACACATGAACACCTTGATCACCACTACTGTTCTCAAATAATTTGTCCTAATCAGCATCTTCGGAATGTGAATGCACGTGATAGTAAAACTGGCTCCTTACTAATGGTAAGTTATTTTCATTCTGTAACAAGAGTACCACATAAGTATGTTCATACTATTAATTTACCAGATTATTATTATTATTATTATTACTGTTATTCCATTTCGAATTTTACTGGCAGTACTACAAAACGCTTTGTATGTATCTAGAAAGTAGTAAAATGTGTTTTCAGTCAATCAAGATGGTTACTAACAAGTTTTTTGTCATAACTACATTTATTCTGTGGTTTGAGGTTGCCATATTTTCAGGGAATCACTTTTACCATTCAAAATCTCAGCAAACATCTTTTCTATTACTCAGGTTGTAGATAGCTTCAGGTTTAGCGACAAGCTAAAGATAGTTTATCCTTGATCGTTTTGTTTATTAACACTTATGAAACTTGTCACTTGTTTACCACACATTATCAACCAATTTCTCAATTTTCATTTATCGAAAGAATGTCGTGTTTTTCTAGAGAATCAGGTCATTTTGTTGTCGACAGCTGGACGAATCAAAAGTCTCTTCATATCGATATGGATTGACGACACGGAAGTTGCAACTAGTGGTAAGTTATACTGATACATGTATCAGATCACTTTTTTGTACACTTATTTAATATATTTGACCAAAATGTTCAAGTTAACTAATATCTGCGAACCAGTCAAAGTGTAGAGTTCATATAACTTTCTCTGACCTCTATATGTGATTTGGAACCGGTATAAGTGGATTTGGAAGTAATAGCTATGAGGTAAGGTGTCAAATAAAGTGGACATCTATTTCTATGTAGCCACAAACTACGATATGTGGACCATCAAGTCAAAAGAAATTTCTTATCAGCTCTGAAATTGCATGCTTCGCAGTCATTGCAAATAAAAATATGAGCTGTTTTATTGAACTAAATTAACTGCTAACTAGTTCAAATATATTCGCCTAAAGTAATGTTATACTGAAAAATATAAGCCAGATTTCGTACAGACTAAGATGTCACACTGGGAACAAACCTAATGCTATCAACTGTTACAGTCAATTTGAGCAAACCAATATTGAGCAGACAAATTCATTTACATCAAATAAAATGTTCGCTAGAATTTCACTGTATTGAATGTTTCATTTATTGTCATGCGATTTTATCTGTTGCAGAAACCAAATAAACAGTATTGCATCCGTACTCTCAATCGCAGTCAATTGAGTAGTCGTTCTTCAATTGATGCTATCAATCAATGTGCAACGTCAAAATTGGAATCGTTAAGATTGCTATATGAAATCTACTTTCTCACATGACTTTCAACGCTTCACTGTTTAATACTAAATGAATGTTGAACATAAAAGTGATAATTCGTCCGAACAAGAACAATTTGGTTCGTATTTCCTACTCAATTTTTCATCATAACTCAATTAAACAGTTGTGTCCTTTTATTTCATGTGGATGCATCATATCCACTTCTCTGTTTTGATATTTTATTAACAAGAGTCTCATTCCATTGTTCATTCTACATCGTGGATATTTTCGGAGAGACAATGTGATATTTCCGATGATTGTCTAATATTTACTAATGTAATTTCCTTTACACAAGATCAATGATATGTCAGAATATTTAAAGCGATGTTATCATAACGTTTGTACACCTACATCAACCAGGTTTACCAATTCCCACTTTATTTTGTTCATAACCCAATAGTGTGATAGTTCTCATCTGCAACTAGTCCATTATGAATATTCTTCTTCACTGACTACAATATTTTTTACAATGTCCTATAAAATGTATCATTCATATTGCTTTAACTTCACTCATTTCTTGTCGTAATAGAATTATGTGGTCTCAAGTTTCTTGATTTTTGCTTTCAAATTACAAGGTATTTATAATATGATGGTTTGGAACAGGGTTCGAGAAGTAATTGTGCAGAGTTTATTGGGTATCCAACCATTATGCCTGCGAACAGAAATTGGGAGAAATGTAGATCTAATAAGTTGATGATAATTTATACGTACAATGTTTATACGTACAGTGTTTGTAAACATGATGAGATAATTTTCAAACGGTCACATACACACGTACATATATATATATATATATATATATATATATATAAGTTGATTGAAGTCACACAGAATAGTAGGTAACTAATTTTGATCTACACAGATTTGACAAATGTTTTGGTCGTAAATTGCTGGACAGTCCGTTGCGTGGTTCGTGCTTTCTAGTTATTAAAAAACAACCTTCAGTTAATTTCAATCAGAACTATACAGAGTTAATCACTACTCATTGGAATTTTGTTGATAGTGATGTAGAATAGTGTATGTCACACACACACACAGAAACATCGTAACGTAAGATAAATAATAATGTTTGTGATCTTTTATTTGGTGTGTAGAAGTTTTTTCTTGATATTATTCTGGAAATATCTCTTACCTTTAAGTAATATTTTGAAATTCTTATGGTCAATAATCATTCTTATACTAAACATGTTTATGCATGAACTCATTCATCAGTCTACTGTAGCTATCGCAAATACTAAATTCCGTATCAGAACATTACCTTTCAGATCAATATCACTGTCATGGTGTGTGATAGTCTTTTCCACAATCAATACATTTCATTATCACTAAGGCCATGATTTCTAGGTCGCATAACTCAACTCACACTTATATCGATTTAAACGCATATAAATATTAGGTGGACATATTTGGCAGTGATATTGCTAGTGAAATAAGAATGAAACAAGTGTGTGTAGCCGCTGATGAAATGGCAATGGATGATATTGAGAATTACAATGCTACTCACTAGTCGTGTTTTCAAATATTTGAGCTGTTTTCGGTTGCATACATGTTGATATTTTCCAGCAATTGCCTACATGCAATGATTTGCATATAGATGAGAACAGTGTACACTGATCGATTCAGAAAATTCAGTTAATTATTGCCAGAGGTATCCAAAGTCTTTTGTACATTGATGCCGTTAACTGTGTGAGTCGTCTTAGACCACTGACGGTAGAATTCCCACAGTGGGAGTTCATCACACAGCCTAGTAATCTAGAAATTAGGACACTGTCATTTAACATTTACAATGGGACGGAAGTGAATAAAAGTTTTGAAAGTTGTGGAAAGAGATCACGAACAAGAACTATTTGGCTCGTTTTTCACAGATGTCATTGACTTTCATACGAACACAACTCGAATTTGTCTGAGTACATTTTATATGCTAAAGTATTATGTCGAATAATCAATCAATACCTAATCTAAATTTTTTCTCCTCGACTTCACAGTCTGGAGATAGTTAACATAGATATTTTTGCAGCTAGGTTTTTCTACAATTCGCCTTTTTTATCAACTCTCATAATCTGCACAGTAACAATTGTTGCCTCTTAAATTGTCGTTTTGAAAATTACAACCACTGATTTTCCATTTCTGTTTTGAATTCACCATAGCATGACACTCTGATTATCGCTCACAAATACAGTGCCGCATACACATGCCTCTTGTTCTCAATTACCTCATGTTATGATAACGGAACTCTAATGTAATTGCTATCTACGGTTACATATCACTGTGATATCCCCATCACATTGTAACATTGTAACGAAGGAAATTAGATTACTGCATCTCTCCAGTTAGATATAGGTACAACATAACCATTAACATGTAAATTAGCTTTTTATATAAAAGAGACGTCAGTTGAATATTTGTAGTCAACAGAACGCGATTGGTTCAATAAAAACAATATTATTATAACCAATTGTGCCAGTGATTGTTTTACTGTGCTCGTTTGTTTAACTGTGCTAATGACAGCTATTACTCTCTCTCTCCCGCTGACTTTGAACTTGTACTAATTCGGTTAGGCTTAGTAACCACGCTTGTACTCCTTTGGTACGATCTCGGTATTCTTTCGATACCACGAGATCGCCAACAAATACATCTCGACTACAGCCATCATCTGTCTTCTGATATTGGCCTACGGGAATCTTATTGGTTATCGGCACGTAGTCTTGTAGCGGTGTTCATAGTCAAGCTCAAATTTACACCACGCTACATAATGCTGACATTGCGCTTTCCACTCTATACCACAACCTGATATATTGCCTTGACTGCACTGCTCCAGTTATTGGCCATGTGGCTTGTAATGCTATTAGGGGCCAGAATACTTTTAATACTTTTAAAAGTAACCTAAGAAATTAAAACGCCGCTTCTACGAGCACAATGACGTATATGCACTTCAGAGTATACCTAACCAACAGAAATGCGTCATCTAAACGCAAGTATTTTATGAACATAGAAAAAAAAGCCCTAGGTAGTAAAAGCCGAGAATTATCAATACTTCAGCTTTTTAAATTTCCTTGGTACGACTAAATTCTTCATAGTTAACGGAAACATTGTTGACAACCCTAATATCACTTGCGAGCAGTTCAGCAAGCACTTCTCGCAATGCTACAAAACTTGAACTGAGAGCTCTATCAATACATTTCTAATGCTGAGATCCAGACACCTATGAAAAATTGATTTTATACCCTCCAACATTAAGCAGGCCATAGCTGTCCTGAAAAAGCCTTATGATTGTGGACCTGACGGGACCCCTTCATCATTTGTGAAAAATTGGAAGTAGAGAACTACCACCATTTTGTTTGAAACTTTTCAGCCTATCTATGGAATATGGGATCTATCCATATGTATTGAAAACATCACTTATCACCCCTGAATTCAAAACAGGATCACGTGGTGATATTTTTAACTATAGGCCAACTAATTAAACATCCATGCTCTCAAGAATCATGGAAAAAATAATCCACAAACAGCTATTATCATTTTTACTTTCGGTTGGTCTGATTAGTCCATCCCAACACGGGTTTATGACTAAACTCTCATGTTTCACATTGTACCTGGAATGTTTTTGATCAAATTACCAAGAAAAGAGATGTTGGTCAGTCAGTGATAATTCTTTACTTCGATTTTAGTAAGGCTTTTGACAGTGTCTCACGTAAATTTCTTCTTCTACAACTCTCTTCATTCAGCATACAGAATCCCCTTCTATCTTGGCTCAAATCTTTTTTAGAAGAACGTAGCCAAATCGTTCGCTTTGGATCTTGCTACTCTCAACCCGTGAACGTAACCAGTGGGGTTATACAAGGAAGTGTGATTGGTCCATCACTTTTTCTCCTTTTTATCAATTATGTGTGTTCCCTCTTTCAGTATGGTAAACCTTTCCTTTTTTTCCGATGATCTAAAAGTAGTTTATTCATTCTCTTCTCACACCAAAGAAAGCGATATTTCAGCGGTAATCCAAGAAGAAATAAACAAGATGTATGAATGGACTGTTTCATGGAATTTGCCACTTCATGTTGACGAAAGTGGATTTATTCACATTGGCCGCTGCCTTAGCCCAAATCTGGCTATACACAAACATACACTGAAACCTTCCAACACTGGTCGTGACCTGGGTTTACGATATAGCAACAGTCTGAACTTTTCTAAGTACACTGCATCTCAAGTATCCAAGGCCAGAAGGTTCGTTGGATTCATAATGATAAGCTTCAATAATTCCGAATCGAGATTATTACCATACAGAAAATATACCTTACCCATTCTTGAATATGGTATTTTAGTTCACAGTAATTGCAGGTATAATGACCATATTAAAATTGAAGGTGTTCAAAAAGGTTCGCCAATGCTGTTTTGAGGTATCCCGACAACAAAGATTATCAACAAAATGTCAGCAACTCAAATTACAACCTCTTTGGATCAGACTATCAAATTAAACCTTGTCTTTATCTACCGGATTATTAACGGTATTTCCTACTCTTTGGTATCCACCCCTTCATACTCCATGATATCCTACAATCTACGCAATAAGAGAAATATTCTAGCGATTCCAAAAACCCACACAAACTTGCGACAGAATTTTGTCGTTATTCACTACTCAACCATCTGGAACAGACTGCCAGTGAACCTCCGCTGCAGTGAAACTACAACCCTGTTCGGAAGTCTCCTTGATGATTTTCTTTCCGAAAGTGGATTGTATCACCTGTTGAATATCAATGTATTTAACAATGGTTTATACAAACAAGGTCCATCATTCATCTAATTGACTGAAAAGCAAAATGTAACCTTTGAAACTTTTCACGTCTATTTTATTTCAGTTCTATTCATCTTAATACATGAAGTCTGCTTACGTTCGTATCTATAGTTATTATTGTTATCAATATCATTATTGGTCCCTCGACACATTAGATATTCTTTTTATCTCTTCTTGTCCTTCCAAACATATTTAATTCCTGATTGTCCTTTGAAATTAATTGTGAATT